CCGGGAGAGGCGGGAGGGAGGCTGGGGTGGGGGCGCGCGGTCCTGCGCCTGCTCCGCACCCGCCCCCCTAGTCCTGCGGGCAGGTGTGACATCACACCTCGGGAAGCTCTCCCGACGCGGGGCCAGCCTTGTTCGTGACGGGTGGGGGGTCTGGCCCTAGCACTCCCTTCGGAGGTCCACAGCTTTCGCCCTTAGTAGCCCTGCCTACCGGCGCGGGTTAGGTCGTACCTAGAGGCAGGTGCTTCCGGTTAGGGTTTGTCACTGTTTCCCAATAGCCCTGTGTGGGTTGGTTGGGAAAACTGGAATTAGGGGTTGGTCCTGAGAGCCAGCAGGGACCCAGGGATGGGAGTGTGTGGAATTGAGATGGGGTTCAGATAGGCCGAGGACGAAGGATGAATATCTGGAAGTCAGGCCAGCATTAGCTCTGTGTTGTGTGGACGCCTGCTACGAGGCTGCTTAGAGGTGGGTGAGAGTCTTACAGAACCTCAGCTTGGGGGGATTAGGTCTTTGTCCTTACAAGAGTTTATTTCAGTTCCAGCCCCAATGAATGAGAATGAATGAATGAATGACCTTTCTCCCCTTCATTGAGACCTGGATTTGGGAGGGGTTGCCCTAGGCAAGGATAAGGGGCCTTTCGAGGTTCTTCATGGCACCCTGGTTTTGAAGTTGGGTCTGGCCAGTTCTGGGGTGTCAAATTTAGTGAAAATTGGCCTGCCTGGGAGAAAGAACTTTGGGCCAGGCCCTGGAATGTGGAACCCAGAGAGGTGAGTCTTGGCCCAGCTGCAGCCCCTGTGGACTGGTCTGGCCTGGTCTAGGTCTGGTTTTTGGCTTTGATGACAAATCCCTGCCCCGCCCTACTTGATGGATTGGGAGGCTCCCTAGGCAGGCTTGTGGAGGGTTTGAACTCCAAACAGTTTCTGCTGACTGTAAACACTTGTGGGGTGAGGGCAAGGAGGCTCTGTCCTCTCAGGGGCTTCCCTCTGCCTGGGCCTGCATGGGCCTGCCTGCTAGTCACGAGCTTCTGAGTGAGCCCTGCCCTTCCCATCATGTGCAAGTAAGGGGTCATTTGTGGGAGAAGTGGTCTGGACTTCCCTTTCCCACCGCGCCGGTGCCTGCTCTTTCCACATCTTCAGAGGCTGACAGCTTTCCAGCAGCAGCCTCTCAGCAGGCTTCCATGCCTTAGTCTCCCAGCTTTTTCTGCTCTTTGCCTTCAGGCTTTGTCCACCTGTGGGGTGCTGCTTGTCGCTGTCATTCATTCAGCAAGTCTTGACTGAGCTCCTGCTACGTGCCAAGCACATGGAGACATCAGTGAACAAAACAAGATCCCTGCCCACATGGGATTCTGACTGTCACTGAGTTTGCCTCTGAACCCTTTTTCTGTACCAGTTCCTGGTTTCCAGTTACCAGGTACTTCTCTTGCTCTCTGCTCTCTTTCTAGAACTTGGTGCTTTCAGATGGAGCTCGATGAGCAGATCTTCAAAAGTTACTGAGAACAGGAGAGCACTAATCCAGGGCTTGTTTGCTTGCCCCAGGCTCCTGGTGATCTGGGCCATGCATTCCTGTTGGCCTGAATGCAGCTCCACTCCTGCTTTTCTCCCCACGTGGGGCATAATATGGTCCTACTGTAGTTAGCTTCTTTCTTCATTTCCTTTTCTAAACATGCCTTTCTCAAAGGCTTGTCTTCATCTATCTCCTGTGCATACCTGAACAAGCTCCTCAGTTCTCAGGCCTCTGATGTCGCTAACTCCAAGCTCTGTCCTCGGGTCCTGGCCTAGATTGCCCCTGGCCTGCCTATTGCTTGGTTGATATGTCTGTCGTCTTACAACCAAAGGAGGCCCACTCATTCTCAGGCCTCCCCAATCCCCGTCTCCCATTCTAGCTTCCCCTTTTTTCTTTAACTTGTGACAAAAATCTTTCTTCATCATGTCTTCCACGAAGCTGTCAGTTGTTCCTTTTCCGTATATTCTGTGACTTCCTCCCTGCTGGTGAACACCCTGTGTTTGGTGCTGTGTTCCCAGAACTGCCATCAGAACTCAGTCTTTCTGTTTTCCACTCCATCTGGAGCCCTGTCAGGCTTGCCTTCCAAAGCTGGCGTCCAGATCCTTCCCAGACACCTGCTGCTGCCCAGTCAGACCATTTTTCCCTCCCAGTGGTCATCCCTGTTTCTTCTCTTTGTTCCTCTTGTTGCCTCCGCCCCCAGCCACATGATCTCCCTGCTGCCCTTTGAGAGAAGGGCCCAGCTCACTTCCTGCCTCTGGCAGGGTCTCATTGGGATGCTGCGTTCCCTGTAAACTATCTCCCACCCAGTGCTGTGCAGCAGCCTGTACCCTCCCCCTTGAGTAATGAGCCGTGGCACTGGCCCCTTGCACGTAATGTGACACAGCCTAACATGTTAGGCCTGCGGTAGGCCAGAGAATGCACTGTAGCCGCGAGAGTTCCAGAAAAGGCTCCTGAGCCCCAGGCTTAAGGCACTGAGTGTCTAGGCATGGTGCTGTTGAAGTGCCTCTGGGACCCTGTGGAGGGGACAATGCAGGTCCCTCTGTCCCCCTGCCGCTGCCTCCTTCCATTCACTCCCCATCCAGCACCATCTTTGTGTCTCCATTCATGCTGTTTGGGATCTTCTCCTGCTCGTTGTCACCCCTCCATTCATATATCACCTCCTCTATGAAGCCCTTCCCCAGACCCCACCAGCACCCTCCTCCCCACTCTTAGAACATGTCACACTGCTTGGAGATGCCGCATCTGTCTCCATACCAGGCTTAGAATCTTGGGAAGGCAGTGCTCCTCTGACTTGGTGATGAGCAGAGTAGGCATCTTGTGGCCCAAATAGGTCAATAAAATGTGCAGAGGGATGGGGGTTGTCCTTGTGCCTTCCATCTCTGACACATGTCATCCTATGCTCAAGAACAGTGGGACCCTGGAGAATAGGTGACAGGAGTCAGAAGAGCTGCCTGGAACCCCTGTGGCTCTGTTCTGTGCAAAACTTGACTCAAGGACAGAGATGAGAAGAGGGAAACTCAGGAAGGCAGCACACCCTAGGAAGAGGGAGAAGGGCAGCTCTGGTGCTCCCCACCTGCTACTGGAGGCCTTAGGCAGAAGATAGGCTTCTAGGGGGTCTGCCGAGGACTCACAGTCAGGCTGGGTGTTGGCTCCACAGCCCTGTCGTCTTCCTGTGCCCCATTCTCTCCTTGGCTCGCCTTTTCTCCTCCCTGGTCATTTAGAGAGGATTCTCTCCAAACTTGAGGGTCTAGGCCTGCTGTGTAGCTGCAGATGCACTAACTCCGTTGACACAATTGCCAGCCCTCCCAGCAGCATGCCCCAGGGCCAGGAGTCAGGGAAACTCTGGCCTGAGAGGACAGGACTTGCCAGGCCAATTCCCCTGATCCGCTAGTGTTCAGACCCTGTGTGCGGTGGGGCGCTTTCAGCATGGCCCTCAGTATAGCCCCAGAGCCAGCTGAATGACCTTGGCACAACATCATTTCATGCAATCATTTCATGCTTTTCCGGGCCTTTTCTGACCTGAGTGCCTCAGACTCTAGGTGGGACAAAAGGTGTCCAGCTGCCTTTTTTCCTGTGTGACTGAGCTGCCAGCCTGTCACAGCTCCACCTTTTAGCAGGCTTGGGGAGTACTGGAGAGCACAGGTCAAGATTTCTTAGCAGAGTAAGAGGCCAGATAGCCCCGGCAGTCATAAGGGCCTCTGGTAGAGGATAGTTAGAAACAGCTATTTCTGTTCCCTGAGTGCCCATCTGTTCCCCTTGATGGCCACTTCCTGCCCCTGGCTGGGTGCCACTTTCATCTACCCCTTACCTCTGATAACTTGAGGTAACCCTCAACTGTGCCAGAGCTACACCTAGGTCCTACCTCATCTCATTCCTCCCCTCCCCACAGCCCTGGGCGCTGCCTATGGTACGGCTAAGAGTGGCACCGGCATTGCGGCGATGTCGGTCATGCGGCCAGAGCTGATCATGAAGTCCATCATCCCAGTGGTTATGGCTGGCATCATTGCCATCTACGGCCTGGTGGTGGCAGTCCTCATTGCCAATTCTCTGAATGAACACATCACTCTCTACAGGTGAGTTCTGGGTTTCTCCCCCATACCTTGCCCTGTCCCAGATCAGGCCAGTGCACGGGGCTGGGGAGTGGGCATTTGGCGGGTGGCTGGTGGTGGCCGATGCCTGCCATCTTTTCTGGCAGGCACTAATGTCCGTCCTGTATCTTCTCTCCCCCAGGAGTTTCCTCCAACTGGGAGCTGGCCTGAGTGTGGGCCTGAGTGGGCTGGCAGCTGGTTTTGCCATTGGCATTGTGGGGGATGCTGGTGTGCGGGGCACTGCCCAGCAGCCCCGACTATTCGTGGGCATGATCCTGATCCTCATCTTCGCGGAGGTGCTGGGCCTCTACGGTCTCATCGTTGCGCTCATCCTTTCCACAAAGTAGCCCCTCTCCAAGCCCACCAGCCACAGAATATGATGTAAAGACCACTCCCTCCTCATTCCAGAATGAACAGCCTGACACACATGCACGGGGCAGCTGCACCCCCAGTAGTTGGTCTTGTAAATGCGCAGTGTCCTAGTGCCCATTGTCTGTTGCCCCCCCCCACCCCACCCGCCCCGTGCGTGGACATCTGGGCCCACTCATCATTCATCCAGGCCCCTGACCAGTGAGGATGCAGGCCTCTGGCTGCCCCCACCCATCTACCTGCCCTAGAGTGCTCTGTGTATAAGGATGAATTAGAGTTGTCATTTTCTCTTCACTGGATGTTTATTTATAAAGATTTGACCTGTTCACACGTCTGTGGAGCAGCCTTCCGTCTCCCAACTATATAGTAATCTTTAGAGTGTCGCCTTGTGGGGTTACTGTGTGCCCTGAGACTTCTGGATGGAACCACCGTCCTTTCGCCCCCACTGTGGGGCTGTGTGCTGGGCCTGCCAGGCCCCGAGTCGTGTCCAATAAAGTTCTCGGATGTGACTGGATTCCTGTGTGCAGCGCTTATGTGGACTGGGAGGCGGGGAGGGGTCCGACTCCTGCGCCGCAACGTCACCGGAGGGCGCGCAGTCACATGGGGCCTGGGTCACATGGGCACGTTGGTCATGTGACACGCGCATTAGTCAGCTGAGGGTCACGTGAAATCAGCCGCGTTCTGGGCCAGGACTTGGCTACGCGGCTGCTGGCTCCCCCATCTCGGCTAGGCTCGCGCGGCTTAAGATGCGCAGGGAGAAGGGCGCCATGTGTACCCCAGTGTTACAGTTCACCAACTGCCGCATTCTTCGGGGCCGGAAGCTGCTCAGGTGGGATGTGGGACCAGTGGGATCGCAGCCCTGCGCTGCTCGGGTTAGCGGCGGGGGGCCGCGGGTTGAGGGTGGGGTGTGGGGCCCGCGAACCGAGCCCCCGCCCCTCTCTGTCCGCAGGGAGGACCTGTGGGTGCGCGGGGGCCGCATTCTGGACCCGGAGAGACTGTTCTTTGAGGAGCGGCTCGTGGCCGATGAGCAGCGGGACTGCGGGGGCTGCATCCTGGCACCCGGCTTCATTGACGTGCAGATAAACGGTATGTCTCAGGGCCCGGGGTTGGAGAGCCAGGGAAGGAACGCTGAGCACTGTGCAATCCCCTGTTTCTGTGGCCGCAGGTGGATTTGGCGTTGACTTCTCACAGGCCACAGAGGATGTGGGTTCAGGAGTCGCCCTGGTAGCCCGGAGGCTCTTGCCGCACGGAGTCACCTCCTTCTGTCCCACCTTAGTCACCTCGCCACCGGAGGTTTATCACAAGGTGAGGTCAGGCTCCCAACCTCAAGCAGAGAGAGCCAAGAAGTAGCCAGCCCTTTAATTTTCAAATATGATCTCCTCTCCCCACAAGTGCCCCTTGGCACTTGGGTGCGGCCTCACCTGCTGGCCTCCCTGGGTCTAGTTCTGGGGTCTTGCTTCCTGGGCTTTCTCATTCAAGTTGTCCCCCTGCCTGCCTCCCTAGACCCTTTGCCATGGTGTCTCTGACTGCCTCTGCAGCTGTCCCCATAGGCCTCCACATTTGCTGCATCAGCACCTTTCCTGCCACACACCCTCCCCACCTTGCGCTCTGGCCACCTCCAGGCTTCAGAAACTACCTCCTTGACTGAGGTGGATGTGGACTTTCTGACTGCCATATCCTTAGTGGCTCCTCAGGCTCTTCCTCCCTAACCTGTCTGTGGTATGTGACTCTGGGAAAAAACGCCTTCCAGAGAAGTCCGTTGCACTCCAAGCTTTCTCTGCCGCTCTTGCCCGCATCCCACCCCCTCTCATTTTCCTTCCTACCTACACGTCCTGCCATTCATGTGTCCAGGGTCCCTTTTCTTTTAAGAAATTTTATTTTATTTTTTTGCAGGTCCTCCACTTTACTCTTTGCCACATTTTTAAATTTTGTCATTGTTCTCTCTGTGTATATGATTCTTTTTTCTTGGGCTGTTTCAGAGTAGATTGCATACATCACAACTCTTTACTCTTTAATTCTTAACTGCTTCTAAAAAGCATGGGTATTATGTGAGCACAGTAGTGTTAGTTTTGGAAATAAACACTTATCCTTTAATCTACCATCTTTGTTCCAGTTTTGTAGTTATTTTCTTCCAGTACAAGATCTATTCCAGGATCACCGATTGCATTGCCCTCTCTGGGGTTTCCTCCTGGATGTGTGGACACAGAGTCAGAGCTAGGAGCTATGCGAGGTAGGGTGTGGGCTCCTGATTTTTATCTTTATCAGCTGGGTGACTGAGACAATCCTTACTCCTTTCTGAGCCTCAGTTTCCTCAAACCTAAAGTGAGAATAATCATGATATCCATCTTTTGGGTTGTCAGGTGCTCAGCGCTGTACTGGTACATATTAAATACTGGGTAAATGTCAGCTATGGACATCTTTCTGGAAATTTCCCCCAGCTCTCCCATCATTTTTAACATTTTTAAATGTTAAAAACCAAGCTCATTTTCCTGCTGCAAACCAGACCTGGTTCTCTTGTCTCTCTTTGGTCATCATTCTATGATTCACCCTGCCTGAAATCCAAAAATACGTCCACCCTCTTGTGCCCCCGCCCCCTGCAGTTCTTTGTCCTTCCCCTTCACAGTCCTCACCAATGAGACTTAGTAGCTGTTGTGCTAGTTTTCTGAAGAGTGGCCTTCCCAATGTACAGGGCTCAGCACTTCACTCTTCCCCTTCTTCCCCTTATCCTTATCCGCAGAATAAATACCACCCTCCTCAACATTCCTTCCCACCTCCCAAGCCTCTGCTGTCTCCCCAGGCACATTCCAGCCATTCCAGGCAGTGGCTCTCCTGCCCACCAGCAATGTGCCTGGAAGGCCTTTGCCTAGTTGTGTCTGTTGTACCAGTTGACCCATGTGCCTTCCCATCTACCCAGTACCCTCGCCCATTGTGATACAGACTGCAAGGTCTTTTTCCTTAGGAGAAAGTGTTTCTGGCCAGTGGGACTTCCATCTTACATTTTCTTCTCAGCACTCATCACCGCCCCCCACCCCACCCGCCACCCAGTGCTTAGAGGATGAAGGCCTTGGGAGGCAGAGAATGTATTGATTTATGGTGGAAATCATGGAGGACTTTGAATATGAAAAAGTTAATATGAATATCATAGAAACTATAGGATTGCTCACTTGGATATCTCCCCCGCCTGCCCCTCCAATCACCCCACCATCCTCTAGGGCCCATTCTTACTGGGCAAAACTGGATTGCCACTTTCAGAAGTTACCCGGGTCCTTTGTCATTATGTTCTGGTCCATTGAGACCACCTGCTCTTTTTTCTGGGGTCTCCTTCTCCAGCCTTGTCCTTCACTACCCATCCATGAGGAAGAGCTGCTCATGACCAGGCACCTCCTCGGGCAGGCAGCCTGGCCTTAGCCCCACACGCCATCGACACTTCACCTTTCCCACTGCTTTCCTGCCTTGAAGGTGCCTCATTCCCTTCACCTCCAGATTGTCCTTTATTCTATTCTCTCTATTTATTGCTCTCTTGCTTTCCCTCTTAAAACTCTGTTCTGGAAAAAAGCCATTGGATTATTATTTTTTTTCTTTAATCTTTGGTGAATTTATGTATGGCACATGGCTTGTTAGGCAAAACAGCAGCCCTTTGTCCCCACCAGTTCCCACTGAGGGACAATCACTTTCAGCTCAGTTGACCCTTTGGAATTTGCCCTTACATCTCGAAAAACTATGTTGATACTCCTGCTCGACTTTTCAGTTTAGAGCAGTATGCATTTGCTTCCCACCAGGAAAGATAATGATTGGCTCTCTTTGGCCCCTCGAGCCCTCTCTCATGCCCTTTCAGCTCCCATCATCTCCAAATAGCTTGTAATTTTGGTTAGATTAGTCATGAGGACTTGTAAAGGGGACTTGTATCTCATTTACGTTTTCTTACCTGTCAACTCTGTTTTCTTGGAGTTAATATTCTCTGTTTGCTTAGTTTTTTATCTACTGACTCAGTGCCAGGCTTTCTGCCAGTTGTCTCACTCTTCTGTTGGGATATTTAGATGTACCAAGGGTTCCATCTGTTTCATCTTCCTGTGGAAGCCTTTGGGACCTGCTCTCCCAGCACTGGCTGCTGGCCTCATTGGGCCAAGCTGTCCTGGGAGTCCCCTTCCCCTCACCTGGGGGTCCCCTGGCCTCTTTCTGCTGGATCTCTCTGTCCCGTATTCTGTGTCTTCCTCTTTGTTGCTTTATGCCTTTGTTTGGTGGAACATATCCTCCAGTAGCTTTCAGAGAGAGGGGTTGTGAGAGGTTTTGAGATCTTGAAGTTCAGAAAATCTCTTTATTCTTTTGATTGATGGCTTGACTAGGCTAGAATTTTAGGTGAGGAGCCGTTTTTCTCTAGAATTTTAAAGGCGTTTCTGTATTGTCTTTGAGCTTCTAGGGTTGCTGATGAGAAATTGGAAGCCATGTGACTCTTGATCCTTTGTGTGTGACCTGTACTTCCCTCCGGAAGCTTCTGGGATCTTCCCCTTGTCCCTGGGTTCCGAAGTCTCAGGGTGACATTCGTGGAGACTAGGAGTTCATCTACTATGCTGGCCCTTCGTCAGGCCCTGTCAATCTGGAAGTTTGTTTTTGTTTTTTTGTGTGGGGTTTTTTGGTTTTTGTTTTTATTTTTGTTTTCTTGAATTATTTCTTTGGTGATTTTTCTCCATTATTTTCTCTGTCTTTTCCTTCTGGGAGTCATTCTGTTGTTGGGCCTCCTGTATAGCTTCTCTCATTTTTTTCTCTCCTTCCTCTTTGACTCTGTTTTCTTAGCTCTTTTTTTTTATCTTCCCAGTTCTCTTGGTTTTTCGCTTTAGTGCATACTTTTATTAACCTAAAAATAAAAAGGGTTTTTAAAGTGAGAAATAGGCATTTATTTGAGATCAAAGCAAAGGTATTCAGGGAGCACTGATTCAGACAGAAGCCTAAATGGTGTTCTGATTCGGAGACAAAGGCAATAGTATTTATAACAAAGGGAAGCGGGGCAATCACATCAATAGAAGGAAGGCATTTCTATTGGTGCAGATAACAGCATAGCGATGTTAATTCTAAACAGTGTTTTTAATTTTCAGTTCGGTAGTCACCAGTCCAGCAGTCATAATCACTGCTTTCTGGTTATCTTTGCAAACAGTTCTTGACATGGTGTTGCTTAGGCCCAGTTAATTTGCCCTGTTTTAATATTCCAAAGATTAGAGGTATAAGAAGTACAAGGCAGTTCCTCTGCCATGGCAGCTCTGGCTCCATCTTATTGTGGCTTCATTCATTCATTCATTCATTCATTCATTCATCATTTATTTATTTATTTATTTATTTATTTTGGTATTTTTAACATAGAAATGCTTGCTTTTACTCTGGAATATTCCTTTTTTCTAAAATTACGTTTTTGTTTCACTGGTGTGAAATCTCTTCTCACATGTCCTCCTCTCTTCAGATTTCTGCTCCCTGGCTAGCTTTGTCCTGTCATTAGTTGTGCTTTCCATGTGTCCTTTCAGAGGCTTTCCCAAGCTGGTAGACCTTGGTCATCTACTCTGATAGAGAACAGGTCCCAGGTCCCAGCCAGCCACCAAGAGTTGTGAGCCTGGGGAGGGCGTGTTCCTGGGGGCACCACTAGGTTGAAATCCCTGAGTCCTTTCTCCAAATCTGATCAGATACCCAGAGAAGAGTCTTCTTGTTCTGCTCAGAGAGAATAGGCCTGACTGGCGACCTTTGGTAGTGTTAAGAATATAAACTTTGCCTAATTGCCTCATTTTATGCTTTGACCCACCTTTTGCCCAGAATCTCTCTGGTTTACTTCTCCAGGCACTTGGTGGAGCATACTTGGGGACCTAGCTGCCCTTTAATGAGGTTCCTGCTGTCGGTCCCCCCACTTCTCAAGGCGCCAGGTGCTGCCAAGGCCTGAGCCCATGGGGGCTGTGGGGCCATGTTTCCTCCCTGTCCCCACTGTGCAAGTCTGCCCACATCTGCCCAGCATCTGCTTGTCAGGCTCCCAAGTTGGCCTGCCCTTCCCCATTCTCTCTGTTATACTGGATTTAAGCTTCTTAAAAATCTCTGTACTTCCATTTGTGGTGAGGAGTTCCAGTGGAGGACACAGCAGTCCACCAAGCTCACCCCAGGGACTCTGTAGTGTCCCTGTTCCATATCCTTTCTCACTTTGAAGGAGGAAGGTGTGGGCTGGGACGCCTGCCTAAGATACCTATGTCATGTGAGTACCTGTCACACGCAAGTGACCCTCCCAGCTGTGTCCAGCTCCAGGTACGCATGGCTGCACTATCAGTGCCTGAGCCCCTGTTTCTGCCCCTAGCTCTGCCTGGATTGCATGCCATCCTCCTGCCTCTGGCCCTCAGGGAGGCTAGGCCTGTCACCCTGTCTGGGTCCAGGCCCTTCGGGCATACGCCTCACTGTGACCCAGCTGCTGCCTGGACTGGGCCACTTTAAGGGCCAGGGCAGGTGCAGTTGCCCTTGGTGCCTATGCACTTGACCCCTACTTGGGGACTCCTTGCCTCCTGGTCCTCATAAGCAGGCCAGTCTTATATTCTAGGGCCTGTCATTTCTTGGTGGTGCTGACCCTGTGTCCTGCTGGTTCAGAGCACTGTGCTTTCCCTGACTATAGTTGGGGACCTTTAACTATCTTCTAATACCTAATGGAAAGCCAGTGGGCACTGGGCCGAGCTCCAGACTCTGACCCCTGACCTTGGCTGGGCTTTGACCTCTGGGTGTTGGGCCATGGGGGGGCAGGGCTTTAACAGCTGGTTCCTCCCAGGTCCTTCCTCAGATCCCCGTGAAGAGTGGTGGTCCCCATGGGGCAGGGGTCCTCGGTGAGTGGCTGACCTCTCTCCCCGCCCCGACCCTGGGAGGCTCCTTAGGGACCTGTTGGCAGCCCCTCCTGCTCCAGATGGGGAGGGAGGGCGGGCAGGTGAGAGGGGCTAGGGCGGGTGCTGGAGGGTAGGGGTCCAGCTAGAGCCATTTGTTTCCCTCCACCCAGGGGTGCACCTGGAGGGCCCGTTCATCAGTCGGGAGAAGCGGGGTGCACACCCCGAGGCCCACCTGCGCTCCTTTGAGGCCAACGCCTTCCATGATGTGCTGGCTACCTACGGGCCCCTCGACAATGTCCGCATTGTGACGCTGGCTCCTGAGCTGGGCCGCAGCCATGAGGTGATTCAGGCACTGACAGCCCGTGGCATCTGTGTGTCCCTAGGTGAGGGAATATGTCCTCACCTGAGGAGGCGGGCCCACCTAGGGATACTGGGCTTGGTGCAGAGTCTGAGTCTCGGTCCCTATGCAGGGCACTCAGTGGCCAACCTGCGGGCCGCAGAGGAAGCCGTGCAGAGTGGGGCCACCTTCATCACCCACCTCTTCAACGCTATGCTGCCTGTGAGTGCTGTCCTGGCTCTTGGGTGGGTGGGCGTGCTGGGGCTCCTGCTGTGGCTCAGCTACCCCTGTTCTTGGCCTTGCCCAGTTCCACCACCGTGACCCGGGCATCGTGGGACTTCTGACCAGTGACAGGCTACCCCCAGGACGTCACATCTTTTACGGGATGATCTCCGATGGCATGCACACCAACCCTGCTGCTCTGCGTATTGCCCACAGGGCCCATCCCCAGGGTGAGCAGCTGGGTGGGACAGGGGCATGTAGGAGATAAGGTGGGCAAGTTCTGAGGCCTCTTCCCCCACCTTCCCAGGACTGGTGCTGGTCACTGACGCTGTCCCTGCCCTGGGCTTGGGGAATGGCCGTCACACACTGGGGCAGCAGGAGGTGGAGGTAGATGGCTTGACAGCCTACGTGGCAGGTGAGTGACCTCTACCCCACTGCAGTCATGTGAGAAGAGCCCCTCAGCCTTTCTGGTGGGATGTAAGAACCTGGGTGTCCCCTGCCAGCCCACTTGGCCTCCCACACCCCACCCAGTGTGCCTGGTGGCCCCTGGCTCCTTCAGAACTTGCTCTCTGCTTTCAAGGCACCAAGACATTGAGTGGCAGCATAGCCCCAATGGACGTTTGCATTCGGCATTTCCTTCAGGCCACAGGTCAGTGAGGCTGGGGGTATGTGTGTGTGTTGGCTGCATCTGGGAGAAACTGGAGGGAAGAGTGGGGACCACAAGGGTCCTATGGCCACATCCCTCATCTCTCATGTCCGGTAGGGTTTCCTGGGGGTGAACACTGGGAATGTGGCCAAGGTCCCACCCACAGGAATTTCACAGCAGGGGACGAGGACAGCAAGCAAGCAGATGGCTTGGAACCCAGAGTGACAGGCACTGAAGCCACAGCACCCAAGAGAAGGGCCTTCACCCCATATGAGGGTAGAACCTTGGCCTGGGGCCTGTGGGATCGCAGGACTTGGCAGGTGCAGAGCTGTGGAGGGGCATAGGGAGCCAGAGCAGCAATCCAAGATCTGGCGTCAGGCCATGTGGGAGCCTCTTAAGGGGGTTGGAGTGTTCTAGGGGAGGGGAGCAGTGGTATCTGACAGATGCTATAGTTGGCCAGGCCCCATGGAGCTTTTGGCAGCACCCCTGGTGTCCTAGTGGGAGCTGGGGGGCACCAGAGTCCAAAGTGCTGTTTAGAGCACCAGGGAGACAGGCTGGGAGGCAGAAGATGGCTGTGGTCTGGCTTAGGGAGTGATGCAGAGGACAGAGAATTGGGGTTGATCATTTGGCTTCTTGGTGGTAGGCAGGGGCAAGTACCAAGTACCAAGTGGCCTCATGGATGCCCTGGGTACTACTTTTTTGTGGGGTGAGCTCTCTGGGACCCAAGAAGAGGAAGGGTTTGCGGACATTTGGGTCCAGAGGGTCCCTACAGGGCTGGGATGGGTGAGTTGCTAGGAAGGGTGGGACTGGGGGAAGGATGGGGCCTGTTGCAGAGTCCTGGGATATGTTCTCCCCTCCACTCATATCTAGGACTTGGAGCTCTGAGGCTATGGGGGAGGGGGAAGGAGGGCACCAACAGAGCCAGCTGGGGGTTGAGATAGTCACCCAGCTCTGTCCCCTGAGCAGGCTGCAGTGTCGAGTCGGCCCTGGAGGCTGCGTCTCTGCACCCCGCCCAGCTGCTGGGACTGGAGAAGCGCAAGGGGACCCTGGACTTTGGGGCTGATGCAGGTCAGGGTCTAATGTGGGACGGCCCAGGCAGCCTGAAGACTCAGGAGTTCTTAGGGGACCTGGGACAGGGCAAGGGCGGGCAGATGGATGGGACCATCCCTATACCCAGGCAGCCTTACCTGGCTACCAGCCTCGGTCTGGCCCTTTCTCGTCAGGCCAGGCTTTCTGGTATCTGAAACAAGGCCAGGAAAAAGACCGTTGGAACCTTTGTCCCTTGTTTCCTGCTGCCAGGAGTCTTGGTTCCAGGGCCTCAGTCAGTCTGTGTTGGGTTGGGGCATCCTACACAAGTTGGGTCCCAGGCCTTGGTTTCCCTACCAGCCTGGGGGTGGGGGTAGGATGGGGTGGGAGTAGGGTGGGGTGGGGTGAGGGTGGGGGCAACCCCGCCCCTGCCTCCTTCTCACAGCATACCTTTGACCCAGACTTCGTGGTGCTCGATGATTCCCTCCATGTCCGGGCCACCTACATCTCAGGCGAGTTGGTGTGGCAGGCGGACGAGGCCAAGCAGTGACTTGAGGACCATATCTGGAGTGAACGCGCAGCCCCAGCTGGATACTGTCAGGGCTGGGCAGTTGAGGAGCTGGTCTCCGGGAGCGACTGGGAGCCCTGCCCTGGGTGGACAGCCTTGGCTCCAGAGGCAGCTGGCTTGGATAAACCATGTGCCTTCCCGCTGGGACTCCCTTGGTCTTCGAGTTTTGCTTCAAATTGGGCTTCTTGCTGTTTCCACCATAACCCCGGTGTTTGTGGCTTAAGGTTGGGAGTGGCTGGACTCCAGCTCAGCCTTTTGAGGTTTGTGGGGTCCAGTGGAGGGCTCCTTTCTGTTAGAAGAATGAATCTGAGGCCTGCAGACTTGCAGGTGGATGTGCAATTTGGAAATGAATGGAGAGCAGAAGAGTGGAAGCCACGGGCTGCAGATTGGAAAGCCAAAAGCCAGCAGGAAGGGGCTTAGGGACCGTCAGTGTGGACGACTTAAGTTTGCTTGTCGGGTCTGAGGAAAAGGGTAGTACACCTTGGAATTTTAAACAGGAGAGAATTGATCGTGGAGATAAGAGATGGGCAGGGAAGGGCCTCAGGCATTGCAGAGGTTTGGGGGCCAGGTGTGTGTGAGTGGCCCATGGTCCGTCTCTGCACCCCTGAGTTGTGCAGGGCCCCAGGCACTCCTCTCCGACCTTCAGAGCTGGGTTACCCAACTCTGAGTGCAAGAGGCAGTGGTTGGAGGACCTCTGAACTGTCCCTGGCCATTGTTCCCTGGCCTGCCCAACTGGCCCAGCTCTTGTCCCACCTCCAGCCCTTGGGATCATCGAGGTTCCATTTCTTTTCTGAAGAGCCCCATCTTCTGACCCAATTCCCAGGAGGGTGGGACGAGCCCTTCTGCACTCTGGTGTTTGCATGGCTGTGGATGACCCTGCTCATTGCTGGTGGGCAGTATCCTGTCCCCTGCAACTGGGCCCCACCTTCCAAGTCTCCTTGGCCCTCTCAAAGGTTCCTGGGAGAAGGAAGATGAGCTCGACTAATAGGTTAGAAGCTGAGCAGTGGTCGTCACTGCTCACCTGGTACCAGGCCTCATTCTTGTGATCTGCAGGTGTTCACTTGTTCCATTCACCTGCCAAAAATCCAAAAGGGTGTGCTGTTTGTCATCCCTCTTTCTCAGATGAGGAAACGAGCCCTGAGTCCCAGGGCTGGTGAGCACCAGGGCCAGCATTTAGCATGGCCTGGAGAACCCCAGGAACCTCCCTTTGACCTGTCACCAAAGCATTTCTGGGTCTCCACCCAGAAATCATGGAGGGGCTAATTGAGATGGTTGGTGGTCAGCCAGGTGGCACCAGAGTTAACAGCCAGCACTGGCTGGGAAGAAAGAGCACCTCAGGACAAAGGAATTGCCCCACAAAGGCCAATCACATGGGCTTAGTATGTTGGAAGAACAGAACTAATGGCCACCAGGGCTGGAGAGAGGTGTGGGGATGGGGGACTGGAGCTAGGCCTTGCAACTGTGATGAGTTGGGAATTTATTTGAGGTTTAGGGGCAGTGGTTGGAGAGTTTACTTTTTAATTGTGATAAAATACTTGTAACAGTCTACCGTTTTTTTAATGCATAGGTCAGTGACATTAAGTACATTCATATTGTGCAACCATCGCCACCATCATCTCCAGAACATTTTCATCACCCCAAACGGAAACTGCACCCATTAAACACTAACCCACATTCCCCTTCCCCCCATCCCTGATACTGGAAGGTTCTCTTTGTTTTTGAGTCTGAGGTGGCCATTTTAAGCGTGTCTTCCAGTTGCTGGAGTAGCAAGGGCTTGACACTGAGGGACTGGCTATGAGGCCAGATAAAATGAAATGGGCGGGGATGGTACAAACTTGCCCTAGTGGTTGTGGACTGGGGATTGGAGGAGGGGACCACTAGGTGTCTGTCTGACACACTGATGGGTGGGGGTGATTTTCACAGGCTGCGATAAGATCCCTGGGGAGCACCTGGCAGTGCCCACATCATCTCCATGGCTTCTTTAGTGTCTATGAGTGGGAAAGACTTGAGGACCCAGAGTCTGGTGCAGGGATCAGGTAGGGTAGCCCCTCGCAACCGCCATCAAGTCAGGACTCCAGATTGGGGGCAAGGGCCACGTGACCGCTGCGTCTAGGATCCCAGAGACCTCCCTTGAAGCACCGGGATTGTGCCAGGCTCATACAGATTTCACTGGGGGCGGGGCGAGGTGGGTAGGGGTGTTCTTTCCTTAGCCTCGGGCTCCTCATGGGGATGACAGACCTGTAGGCTTTGAGCCCACCCACCGGGACACCGTGGGGGAAGAGGTGCTCGGGGGCCGGACAATGATTCCTGGAGAGGTTCCGGGTGATTCAGGCCCAAGGAAGCAAGCTTGAGAGTAGGGGAGGGACAGTATCAACCACGGGAAGAGTCCGACAGCTGCCATGCCCAAACAGGGGCTGGGTCTGAGCAGCAGGGCGTACACGATTCCTGTCCAACCCGCTCGCCATATCCGGGGGCCTGCAGCCTAGGTATGGGGCGGCTTCTCCAGTAAAGTTGGAGCGGGACTTTACCGGGACGAATCGAGATCCCCATGCGGAGGTACGCGCCACGGCATAGCAGTAGGGACGCACGTCGCCCTCTGATCAACTAGAGAGTGGGCGGGCATCCTAGACCCCAATACTGCGCAGTCGAGAGGGCTCACGGAGGCCCGAGCCTCAACGCCCCGACACAGGCCACCGTGCCCCGAAGACTGAAAAGGACACAACCCGCCTGGCCCCGCCTCTGTGCGCCTTCTGGCCTCACTGCGACCCTGAGGACCCCTCTGCGCCTCAATGCTCCTCTCCACGTGCCACTGTGTCCCACCTTTCCTTACCTGCCTTCCAAGTCTCCTGCCATAACATCTTGGTGCAGCTTCTAACAAGGTGATCCTGCATTTTTTTTTTCCACATTTGTATCTTGGTTCGTGTTATAAACTGAGGTTGTATTTTGGATATTGTTTTGCCATGTACTGTTTTTAAGTTGAACATGAAATGGAGAGCTTCCTGACTGAGGATATGTGGATCTCTCTCTTTTAATAAAGTTCCCAGTGTTCTCTAAGTTAAATGTTCCCTAACTTAAAAACCATATGCCACTGAAGACAATGGGGTTCCTCCCCACCCCTATCCCAGCAGATCTTGGATTCCTAACCCAAGTGAAACGTGAGATAATAAATATTGTTTTATGCCTTTAAATTTTGTGACAACTTGTTACCCAGTGCTGGATAACTAATACACTAGCCGTGTGACATTAGTCAGGTTCTATAGCCCCCAAATCCCATTTCCTCCCATGCCATGAGGGTCATAGAAGTTATTGGATAATATACATGCTAGCACAGGCCAGGTGCAGGCTCAGAACCTGGTTGGCAGTGAAATACCTCTCACACCACCCCTGTACATAAGGCAGCCTTCCAGCCTCATCCCTTCTAGCCCCATCCCAGGAGAGTTATGATCATCCTCCTGCCCCTCCCTGAGTGGAACTCAACCTCACCATGTCAGGCCCAGCCACTGCGCTCTTGGCCTGAGGTCACCCTTTTGTGGCAAACCAGGGACAAAGACTCTGGGCACAAAGGGACAGAGAAGAGCTGGGGGCTGTCCCTCTCCTTCTTCTAGCCACGGTCCTAATGAACTACGCTAGGCCAGATGAGTCTATCTCCTCTCCTGGCCACTGTCCTGGGTGGGGCAGCCAGGCCAGACCCGTGGACGGGGTGCCCCACTCCTCCCCAGGGGAGAAGAGCGGCCTGGCTTGGCCTTCGCACACTAGCTGCCATTGAGGCTCGAGAATTGAGAACTGCCCTTCCTATCCCTTTCAGCTGCCCCTCCCCGCCCTGCCCCTGCTGCCTGCTTAGCTGCCTTCTTCAGAGCTAAGGCTTCCCTGGCTCCCCTCGCCTCTTCCCCTGATGGGCTCCACCTGCTGCTCCAGTGGGCTCTAGCAATTTCCTTTTCCTCAAGTATTTTCCCCTCCCTATTCTCTTTGAGTTACTCAAGAACTACATGGCCATGCTATGGTATAATAGATTCTAATTTAAAAAAAAAAAAGTTAAAGGCTCCCAGTTCATATTCTGCAACTTGCTACTTTGCCTTCAATCTCCTCTCCAAGCTTTGACCTGTTCTTTTCAGTAGCTGCAGAGAGTTCTCCAGCATGGACAAACCATGATTTACTTACAATTCTCTTGATAAATATTTTGGTGGGTTACATTTTTTTTTCTTTTTGTGTTGCATTCAAGCTGTGCTGCCACTAAGATTCTTGCACAACCTTATATTCATGAGTAAGAGCTTCCTTGAATTTCTACAAAAAAGATATATCCATGTTACTAACTTTTACTTGTATCAATGGTGAAGAGGTCAAATAGTTCCCAAAGGGTTTGTTATAAAGGACAACAAGCCGCTGCC